CTGAGAAATGATGCTGTGTCCATTAATCTTTCAGACACTAGTGACACAGTAACAATACTAATGGCAACTGGAAAACAGCTCTTCCCCAATGCATTACTGGATATATCAATAGCTTTTTGGCAATGAAAGAGCCAAATAGGAAAAGGCCTGGATACTGTGATTAGTCAAACAAGAGCAATGAAAAAAGATGGTGGATAAAAAAAGTCTAATAAAATATAATTAACAGAATCTTCACTTTTTGCTCAATTACCTTCCTATCATTTATTAAGTTTCAATTAGTACTTACTTGTTCATCTGGTATTGACCATAAGCCAACATTGCCCATTACGCCAACTGTAATTAAATCTGTGTCTCACAGGCATAATTTCTAAGCAGATATCAACCTGATGAGCCAACCATTACTGTGTAATTGTACTGACTGCATTCTAAGGAGCAATGGTCTCTCCAATAATTTCTGATTTTTAGGGAAAGGTCACATAAGGACCACAGAAAGCTATGAAGTTTATGGGCTCATTTGCATGCTCACTCTGAATCCTCTGTAACAGTGGTTCGTTGATAAGGTTCACAATAAGCCTTCTATGACCCTGCAAAAAACCAGATCCTCTCTCAGAAAAATGTACCTGTGCATACAAAATGTAGCAAACAATTTCAGGAGGTTAAAAAAAAAATGACTTGATGCTTATCCAGGGTCAAGAACCCCTGCTATCATTAGTATAGCCTCCTTCTGAACAAAGTTAAGAATAGAGGTTTAATAGATTTATGAGCAGGTCAGAGAAAAAGCTGTTGGTGGGAAAATTCAAAGCAAAGACACTGACAATAAAGATGAGAGAGGAGATTCACAGCAATACCCTGAGGCCTAACTACTGCAGCACAAAGTGCTTATTCATTCATTTGACAAATATTTATTGCACATTATTTTGAACTAGGTAGGGTGCCAGACGTGATAGCTACTATCAGAAGTAGCTAACATAGTTCCTGCTCTCATACAGCTTGTAAGGACCAGTGGGAAGAAAATCAACATCCTGAAAAATAATTATAAAATGAAATATATAATTGGAATGAAGGAAATATACTTTATGAGAGCCTAGAACAAAAGAACCTGGCTTAGATTGAAGGTCCACAAAGGCTTCCCTAAAGTAAGACTAAAGTGAAAGCTAACCAGTAAATAAGTTACCTATGCAGAAATGGGGGTGGGGGTAAAGTTATTACAAATATTCCAGTCCAAGGGAAACATAAGCAAAGATCCTGTGGTAGACACAGTGTGGAGATTAGGGAACTGCACTATGAAATTAGGAAAATGTTGGTTCTCTTATTTTAACAGCTTTCTTCTTATCCTGTTACTTATCTTCTGATAAAAATGATAGTATGCTGTGTCCCACCCACCCCATAATATACGTAAGGCACTTAGGAAAATGCCATGGCACACAGTAAGTGCACACTAATGTTAGTGATGATGAAAGTTATAGAGTAGTTGAGAGAACTTGTGTTCTAGTAAAATTACCTAGGTATAGTCAACACCACAATAAATGTTAGCAGTTCCTACAGCCACCAATTACAAATTTCTAAGGCAAAATATAAACAACTTAAAATATTTTAATAATTGCTTGCTCTTCATTTCCATTTATATAAATGTGCTACAAAGAGCTATATTTAGATACAGTACAAATACATGTTATCTCTACTTAAGGACTACAATATACTTTACCACTGAGATTATTCTTTTTTAAACAAACCAACAACTAATTGGTTAATTCTGGGAAAGACTTAAATGAAACCAAGTTCTTACAATACATATAATTACTATTTTTTTAATAGAATGATACTCAAAATTGACTCCCTGTTGAGTTCAATTTGATTGAACATCTACTACTTAAATAAAAAATATTGAGCTATGGAAAAACTGTTCTTTAGAAAATTTAACAGTCTTTGAGAATAGTTTCAAATTTAGTCTTACTTAACAAGCTGAGGTATAATTCAAAAAGAAAACCTTTGTTTTCACTTTGCCTCTAGGCAAAGTATTATACGAATCCCCAGTAACGAAGAATCTATCTTTTATGTAGAAGTCTGTTAACATTCAAGAAAATATATAGTAAACAAAGGATGTTGGGGCCCTCAAGCCAACAGCCACCCCCAACTGTGCACCCTGAGGGGATTCAGGATGGAGAAAAGCAGGATACTGGCCCTAGACAGTTAAGGTGCATATCAAAGGAATAATTTCAGTAAGCCCAAACTCTTGCATCTTCCCATACATAGAAAAGTGCTAAATTCATTAATGAAATGTTTGGTTTTCTTTAATTAACAGTAATCTTTTTATGTTCTGACTACCGGATTTTTGTTGCAAAAAACTCCTATATATCCTGGTTCCTCCCTTATCTCTTTGGAGCAGTCTCTCAGAGCTATTTGAGAGGCTGCTTCCCGGACTTGAGTCCTCAGAAAGTCTGCAGAATAATTCTCAAGTTTTGGGTTGTGCATTTTTTTCAGTCGACAATACCCTGCTCTCTCAGATATACTACCCTTGAGTACGAGCACGTTTTTCCTAAACTTAAATATCTACATCTCCTTGTCTGATATTATTCAACAGGTAAGAACTAAGAGAAGACACTTAATAACTCTTGTACTACAAAAATGCAACATTACCTGGAAAACTAGTCTTCATTATATCAATTCCAACTTGTAGCTCAGACTCCGCAGCAAGTACAGCATAGTCTCCTTGATGAGAGATGTTAAAGTTGAAATTGGGGTAAGGATTCAATGAGTCTTTCGCAAGGATTGGTTTTCCTTTTGCAGTTCTTTGCAAACGAATATTATTCCAAGGTATATTCAATTTCTCTGCAACTAATTTCCTCATCATCAGACGACCAGCCTGTTAATAAAACATTTTTTAAGTATTGATGTCTGTACTAAAGATTTAGGTAACACTGCCTATAACATACAAAGTCTATTTTTGTGGTTTCTAAAATATTCATTTCTTAAAGTTTTTAAAAAGTACCTAAGTATTAAATACCTGCTTTAAGATTTAAGAAATGCTTATGAAGACAGACAACTTAAAGTCCCTCTTTAGCAATTCCCTCCCTCCCCTTAACAAGTAACCAACCAATGTTATCAAGTATTCATCCCTTCAGTCTTTTCTCTAAGTACCCAAAATATGTTCATTTGCTTTTACTATCTATCCATTTATATGAAATCCTACTATATGTACTATTCTACCATGTATAATCTTTTAAATTTCTAAGTGTTGGGGATTATTTTATGTTTGTATATAACCATCTGGCCTGTGCATTTCATACTATCAAGGTACCACAACTTGACTATCCCCTATTGTTGGATATTTTAGGCTGGCTCTAGTTTTACTATTATAAAAAAAATTCCCCATTGAGCAACCTTGTTGTACTTACATCTCTGTGCATATGTGCATGTATTTCTAGATCATATATTCTTATCACTGGGCTCAACAATTAGCAATGCATGACCTATCTTTTTTCACATATACCCCATCCACTCTCTCCCTCCATTAATTATTAAGAAAGAAATGGGGCTTCCCTGGTGGCACAGTGGTTGAGAATCTACCTGCCAACGCAGAGGACACGGGTTCGAGCCCTGGTCTGGGAAGATCCCACATGCCACAGAGTAACTAAGCCTGTGTGCCACAAATACTGAGCCAGCGCTCTAGAGCCCACGAGCCACTACTACTGAACCCACGTGCCACAACTACTGAAGCCCGCGCACCTAGAGCCTGTGCTCTGCACCAACAGAAGCCACTGCAATGAGAAGCCCGCACACGGCAATGAAGAGTAGCCCCCCCACCCCACCCCCCGCCGCAACTAGAGAAAGCCCGTGTGCAGCAACGAAGACCCAACGCGGCCAAAAAGAAATAAATTAAATAAATTTTAAAAATATATGTATATTTTAAAAAAGAAATGACTAAAATCACACAAAAATACCTAAGGGTATAACAAGGCATATAATATTTTGAAAAATATTCCAAGTTTTTTTCCCTTCAGTTCTAAACAATGACTTTTAAATACTGCACGAGTTTGAATTTGACAACTTCTTACAAATTACAGAAAGTATAAAAATATTCACCAATATGCCTTCAAAAATCAATCAGCCCACATTTCAAAAGAAAAAGTGCTTTGACAGAGGAACATTTTCAAGGTAACAGTCTTTGATGGTAATTAGAAGTTGTTTCAAACTGCGCTATATACACAGAAGTTGTTTTGAAACCCGTTTCCATTTGTTGCTAAAAATACGTAAGTAAAATAAACAATTATATCTAAAGTACTGTTTCCCAAGCTATTTAGTCAGAAAGGTATGCCTAGGACTGCATCCTTCCTTGACTTAAGTTTCCCTGGTAAAAGGAGGCTGGACTCTTCCAGTTCCACGGCGTGCAAGGCTAAAGTAAGTCATAACTGTCAATATTTCTTAGGGCCTATCACGTGCAGGAGAATGGTAGGATACTTAACAGGCTAAGAATGTGCTATGGGCCCAAGCAAGGAAAAATAAATTTTGATAACTTAAAAATAAGAAAAAAAAACATTGTGGGTAAAAAGAACTACGTTGTAGGCCTTCTCAACACCTATTTTAGGGTTTAGCACGATCTCTATTTTCAATTACAACGGGGGAGGGTCTAATATTTACAGCGGACGAGGCCTCCGAGGAGACTACAAAGACGGTGGAGACCAGGCCGCGCGCACACACGGTAGAGTCAGCAGCACCTACCACTCTCGCCCTGGGGCGGCCACAAACTGGCGCCGACGCTAGCGTGGGAGGGGGGAGTCTCTACAGCCCGGCCCACCATCCCCAACATCTGCTTCCTCGGCCCTCAATACGAAAGACCTGTAGTACCAAAGCTGCCTTAGCGTCGCGTGCAAAGACGAACTGGCCAATGCGCTCCTTCTCCTCGGGCTGGATCGATCGCACCGCGAGCAGCCATTCGGCTCGGCTCGGCAGCCAAGCGCCACAGGAAAAGGCCCAGCGCACACCCTCCATTGCTGGCACCAAGCAGAATCGCTTAGCGGGGAAAACCATACACTGAAAACCTCACCGCCACCTCGGGCTTGATGGCGCGGACGCTAAAAGTGCCCCACCCACTTCCTCCCGGCGCTCGGGCGGAGGGGGCGGAGCGTCGCGCTACGTCAACTGCACGTTGCTCACCGAGAGCCCTCACTTCCACGCCGCCTACTCTGCCACCTCCTCCCCCGGGAGCGGAAGTGGAGACCCTCCTCTGCGCTTTGCGGCAACGCGTGACCGTCACGTGGGGCGGGGCTTCGGAGGCGAGCGAAGGGAGGGACAAAGGCCAAGAGCGTATAGAACGCCACTCACACTTGGAGAAGAGATAACGGGACAGAGGTGCAAGCCAATCGCAATCAGGCCTGTGGAGGCAGAGACTGGGGTGGAGACTTCGGAGACTGCAGTTCCAGGTGGGTGATTTCTGAGCTGTGAGAGAGGAGTGGGATGGTAGCGTCTTATTCCTGGGGTCCAGGATCGGCCCCTATTATCCACAGAGAAGAGAATTTTCTTGGCTTAGGCTACCAGTGCCGCTCCTTCGTGTTCCAGGGCGGGAGAGGTTTCTGTGGCAGGAAGGGGACTGCATGGTGCCCCCAAGAGTTGTGTTTCCCGCGGCCCTGAGTTGCCTTCCTCCCCTGTCCCCTTAGGCCGAAACTCATCTAGACACTCCAACCCTAGCAGCCCTCCCTGAAACCTGCCTTCTAAGGCTGGGGCAAAGACTCTGCATTGCCTCCAGTGTAGGGCGCGGACCCTGCCTGAATCCAAGGCTGCTACCAAGCAGCTAACTGTGTTGAGGCCATAAAGTGACCCTGGTGCGGTTTTTGTGGCTGCCAAGCCTGGGCCAGAGCCCTAGGGAGAAAACTGAGGATTCTGTTGTTGAGGCACCGGTGGGTGGTCCCATTGTTATCAGAGGTCTTTGCTCTGAAAGCAACAGAACCAAGTTGCATAATTTCAGGAGCCCTTCATAATTAACTCTGTGCCTTTGCTCAGTTATTTGCTTGTGATCAAAGATCCTTGCGGTTTTGGTCCAGGGAAAAGTTGATCTGTGTAGATGAATTTAAATGCCTAACTTTGTGGTAGATTAAATGCGACACTGGGATTCAGCCGACTCCCTTCTTCCTTTGGCTGCCAGGGAATGTCAACTAAAAGCCAGCAGTAGTAATTAACAGTTACTTGCGGCTTATTTCCATCCTCTTTAAGATAGGTTTTATTCTGTTTTCATCTGTATTTGTTTCTGTTAACTTTTCGTGATATCATCATTCCCCACCAATCATTTGCAAGTAAATGAGATCTTGAACATACACAAACACAAATCCTCAAAGGGCTGTAAAATGAAGTACTGGCTTCATACATCAGTTTAGCTAATACTATGTGTCAGGTGCTATATCTGCTTACAATCTGGCAAAGAAGATAAGACATGTACAAAAAGCTACAGTAAGAGAAAATGTAAAGATATGTAAAGTATAAAGTACTGTTACCCATACCAGCAATGATTTTAAGTCATTTGTCCACTTTTAACTTTATGTATCTAAGCACCATATTAACACTTTTCCATTCTTGTCTTTTTGAACTGACTATTACAATTTTGGTATATTTACTTTTCTATTTCTAAAAACACTTCTATGTCCATTATATCCCATGCTCGTCTATGCAGTAATTTTTACCGTTGGAGAAACAGATGAGAAAGAGAATTTGTGGAATTATTTAAACTCAGGTTTAGGAACGTATGGTCCACTCTTTTACCTTTCAGCTAAGCTTTGTGTATTCAATCTATAGAGCCTAATAAAGGTAGGTAATGTAGTGGTTTTTTGTACTTGTTTTCTCAGAATGTTCTCTTCTCCTCCCATCAGCACATTCCTTGTTCCTCTTTGTCATTCAGGACTCAGCTCAAATGTCATACGAAAGAGAATGTCTCCACAGACACGTATAAAAAGCTCACTCTTCCCACTCCCTATCCCCCAGCCCTGAGCCTAGTACCCTAGTGGACACTCTTTATAGGTTTGTTTAATCCGCTTCCCTATCTACTTTTTAAATTCTTACTTGTCCATCAGGGCTTAGCTCAAGCCTTACTTTTCCTAAAGGACTACTACAGAGTACTTAAAAATATATATATATTGTCTATATAATTAATTTGGCAATTAATCTAGTACTGCCTTATTGGCCTGAATTATTTATATGTGTGTTATCTTGCAAATTAGAATGTAACTGCCCGAGGGGAAGTTCATGTGTACCTTGCCTTTTACAAATAGTATACTTCAGCAAATGTTTTTGATGAACTTTTAGAATAGATTTTACTCTTCATGAGCTAATACTGATATTTATATTCTGTCTACTTCCTTCCCTTTTTTCTTAAGGCAGTATAAAGTGTGCAGTTAATAGCTTGCCTAACTATATTCAGTAAACCCAAAAATGTATTATAGTATTTTTTATTGCATTGGTTAGGGGGAAAAAGGATTAAAGTGATAGCTCAGCAAGCTTGTAGTAGTCATCTTACCAGATCCTGATCTGTGGCTTCTTAGGATTCTGAGAGACTTGTGTTCCAGTTTCAGTTCTATCACCAATTATCTATGTGACTTTGGGTAAATCACATAACCTCTCCCAGGTATCAGTTTCAATGGAAAAGCATCAAATGAGATCATCTCTAAGATTTGGTGATTTTTTTAGGTAATGTTCATTAGCTTTTTATTCTATTGCAAAACCTTGATTTCCCCTTTTCCTTTAATTCCTGTATCTGTTCTATCGCAAAGTTTTATTGGTTCTACTACTAAAATAGAGCTAAAATCTATTTCCCTCCATCTCCAGTCTCTAGTCTAAACCACCATATTTCTCACCTGAAATACTGATTAGTTTTCTATCTTGCTCAAGAAAGGGAAACATTCTCTTGCTATGTCTGTCCTCCATGCCATAAGCACTCCTGAAACAACCTGTCTTCAGAGCTAAGTCTAGAAGTCCATGCTCTTAATCACAGTGCTATAGGCCTCCTTAATTAGACTGAGAAGGAGATAAGAAACTTGAAAAGTGTTGTGGCACAGAAAAGAATGGGGAACTAGTTAACAGTGTGAATACTTCTGAGAGGTTAATAAGATGAGGGGAGTGAAGTTAGCATTTGACTACAAGATGGTAGTGTGGTGACATTGATATGAGCAATTTTATTTATTTTATTTTCATTTTTCTTTGATTATTTTATTCATTTATTTTATTGAAGTATAGTTGATTTATAAAGTTTCAGGTGTACAGCAAAGTGATTCAGTTTTATATATATTATATATATAATATAATATAATATATATAATATATATATAATATATATATAATATATATAAAATATAAAAATATATACTATATATGTTATATAAATATATATAAATATATGTGTATATATAATATATAAATTATATAAATGTACATAAATTATATATAAATTGTATATATAATATATATGAATATAATAACTATATATATAATAAATAATATATTTATATAAATATACAAATATATATAAATTTTATATAATATATATAATATATATATATAAAATATATATATATTCTTTTCCAAACAAGACATTGAATACAACTCCCTGTGCTATATGGTAAGTCCTTGTTGTTTATTGTATATATAGCAGTATGTATATTTTAATCCCAAATTATCAATTTATCTCTCCCCCCTTTCCCTTTTGGTAACCATCAGTTTGTTTTCCATGTCTGTGAGCCTATTTCTGTTTTTTAAATAAGTTCATTTGTATCATTTTTTAGATTCCACATATAAGTGATATCATATGATATTTATCTTTCTGTGTCTGACTTACTTCACTTAGATGATAATCTCTAGGTTCATCCATGTTGCTGCAAATGGCATTATTTCATTCTTTTTTATGGCTGAGTAATATTCCATTATACACACACACACACACACACACACACACACACACACACACACACACACTACATCTTCTTTATCCATTCATCTGCCAATGGACAGTTAGGTTGCTTCCATGTCTTGGCTATTGTAAATAGTGCTGCTGTGAACATAAGGGTGCATGTATCTCTTCTTTTTTTTTTTTTTTTTTTTTTTTGCGGTACACAGGCCTCTCACTGCTGTGGCCTCTCCCATTGCAGAACACAGGCTCCGGACGTGCAGGCTCAGCAGCCATGGCTTGCGGGCCTAGCCGCTCTGCAGCATGTGGGATCCTCCCAGACCAGGGCATGAACCCGTGTACCCTGCATCGGCAGGTGGACTCTCAACCACTGAGCCACCAGGGAAACCCCTGTATCTCTTCTAATTAGAGTTTTTGTCTTTCCTGGATATATGCCCAGGAGTGGGATCATATGGTGATTCTATTTTTAGTGTTTTAAGGAACCTTCACACTGTTCTCCATAGTGGCTGCACCAGTTTAGGTTGCCACCAACAGTATAGAAGGATTCCCTTTTCTCCACACCCTCTCTAGCATTTATTATTTGTAGATTTTTTGATGATGGCCATTCTGACAGGTGTTTTGATTTGCATTTCTCTAATAACTAGCAATGTTGAATATCTTTTCATGTGCCTATTGGCTATCTATATGTCTTCCTTGGGGAAATGTCTATTTAGGTTTTCTGCCCATCTTATGTTTGTTTTTTTTTTGATATTGTGTTGTATAAGCTGTTTGTATATTTTGGAAATTAAGCCCTTGTTTGTTTGCATCATTTACAAATATTTTCTCCCATTCTGTAGGTTGTCTTTTTGGTTTTTTTTAATGGTTTCTTTTGCTGTGCAAAAGCTTTTAAGTTTAATTAGATCCCATTTGTTTATTTTTGCTTCTGTTTCCATTACTCTATGGGAGAGATCCAAAAAAATATTTCTGTGAATTATGGCAAAGAGTGTTCTGCCTATGTTTTCCTCTAGGAGTTTTACATTTAGGTATCTGGTTTTACATTTAGGTCTTTAATCCATTTTGAGTTTATTTTTGCATATCGTGTTAGAGAATGTTCTAATTTTATTCTTTTACATGTAGCTGTACAGTTTTCTTAGCACCACTTATTGAAGAGACTGTCTTTTCTCCACTGTGTATTCTTGCCTCCTTCATCGTAGATTGATTGACTGTAAGTGTATGGGTTTATTTCTGGGCTTTCTAACCTGTCTCATTTATCTATGTGTCTGTTTTTGTGCCAGTACAATACTGTTTTGATTACTGTAGCTTTGTAATAGAGTCTGAAGTCAGGGAGCGTGATTCCTCCAGCCCTGTTCTTCTTTCTCAAGATTGTTTTGGCTATTTGGGGTCTTTTGTATTCCATGCAAATTTAAAAAAATTTTGTTCCAGTGATATGAGCAACTTGAATAGAGTGAAAAAGAGGAACTTGATTGTAGTGGGTTGCGATGATAACTGGTGGCAAAGTTACTGCAGACAGTTCTTTAAAGAAGTTTTTCTGGGAGT